TGGCGTCATCGTCCCGGTACAAGTTCAATGTCACTCCGGTTTCCATCGGGGGACAACCACAACCAAAAAAATAGGAGAAACGACATGAAACAATTTAGAACACCCCCCCACCGCGGGGACCCATTTCTGAGCGGCGCGCACGGCAGAAATCGTTCGGAATAAACGTATTAATCCGACCGCTCTCGGTCGTCCCCCCAGGGACGGCCAGCTGGCAGTCAATCCGCCCCCCCCCCTTCCCCTCCGCGGGGTGTCGCTGCCGCGCGGCCGCCATTTCGACCGGAACGCGGATTATTAACGTTATTTTTATTTGGGTGACCGGAGAGTGAGCCACGCGCCAACCTCCTTCATTAATTAAAAAATATTTATTAAAAAAATCAACAAAAAACAAGGGGAAATTAAAACCTTTTTGCAATGCCCTCCACCCTTCCCTTCGCGAGCTGCACGCCTCGTGAATTCCAGCCAGTCACTTTTTTTTCTTGCCCCTCTTCCCCTCCCTCTCCTTCTTCTTCTCTACTCGCGCTCCGCCTGGCCTGCACAAGTGGCGATGTGGAGGCGCTCGGGCGCCCCCCCCCCCTTCCCCGCCGGTTCCACGCTAGCGTGGCGGCGCGTACTGCGCGGCGAAATTAAATGCGATAATCTGGTGGCGACGGTGGCGCCGCGGCTGCAGGCGGTGGAAGGTGAGACGGATAAAGAGCGTGTCGTGTCGCGCATTGAAAGCTGGAGGGGCTGGAAGGGCTGCACGCCGACGGGGACCTTGGCCTCGTGAGGCAACACTCTGCCGCGCCCACTCGCTCGCGCCCTCGTCAGCCGGTGTCGCTGAGAGGCCTCCGGGCCGCCGCTCTGCAGCGCGGAGTGAGGAGAGACGCAAATGAATTGCCCGAAGAGAGTAACAAGGCGAACGCTTTCAGGCGAGGAGTAACTAAAAACAGCTGCCGCTTCACGTTTTTCGACCAAACCGTTTACTTTCATCCAAGATAAAAGTCAGTCAGGTCCTACTTGTAAAAGGATTTTTCTTCCCATCGCTTCGGCACCGGCGCTGTCGGGCGCTGTAATGGGCATGGGACGCCTCCCCCCTCACCCCAATTCCCCTACTTCAAGGAGCCCCCCCCCCCCCTCCCTTTTGCAGCCCCGTGTCAGCAGCTGGACCCAAACTTGGGCCGGGCGGAGAAATCCGTTACGGGTAGTGGGCAATTTGCGCGAAGGCGCAACTTTCTCCGTCCGCGGGACCCGGAATCCCTTATTGGATCGGAAGCCCGGCGCTCCTTCCCGCATTGATAGTGGTAGCGGTCGTCCTGCGCGGAAGTGACACCACAAAAAAAAAAAGAAAAACTATATTTTTTTGCGATTTTTTTTTTTGCGGGCAGTGATAAGATAGCCATGCGTAGGGGATGAACAAAATTAAATTTGAAAGGCCTAACTTTTCCAAATCTCGACGTTTACGACGTAGACTCCACTAAAAGAGGCCACAGCTGGCCGCCGCGCCGCCGCGCCCTCGTGCGGCAGCGAGGGAATTTTAACCTCGATGAAGTCCTCAGCGTGATTACGGACGTCGAGTCGCCCCGCGCTTTTCCGCGATTTCCATTTAATTACACCCCCGCTATCACACACTGCCCCGTTTTGCGGTGATTTACGGCTTTGGCCGCGCCACTGCTCGGCCTGCCGTGGTATTAAAACTGCCATTTCAAGCCTCGCCCAGACGGCGTCTCCCGCTCGAAAAACCACGGCGTTCTTCCAGAAAAAAGGGGCACCGTCGTGGTAAACAAGATGTCACCACTTGCACGAGGAAAAAAAGCTGGACCCGACCACGCAGACGGGCTCAAGGGTCCCCGTCACGTGAGCGAAGAGTGGACCCCGACCCCTCGACCCTACGACGCCCCTACGCCCCGGGGCCCCGGGCGCTTATAGGATCGAGAGGCCCCGGATTTTCCTTTTTTTTCGGCACGGTATTTTCCCCTTAAAGTGCTGCGACGGCGCTAGTCGGTCTGTCTGCCGCCCGCCTCAAGGTGGGGCCATTTTTTTTTTTGCCGGCGCCGGGGTGGAAGGGGACGACGACGTCAAACTCGCTGTGAAAACTGCCATAACAAGACAAGAAAAAGTTTCGCAAAAATCAAATTTACAACTTATTCTCAGCTGACCCATTCTGCTGACTTTAAGGGGGAATTTTCCGCCAGACCGCGTCATACGCGCCAAACTCCGGCGGTTTGTCTGTGATGAGCGCTTTCGCGGGCAGGCGGAGGGAGAGGTGGCCGCGCCAAGCGGCTCAAAAATAATCTAAATAATTTGGCGGGGCCGCGGGGTCGCAGCCTCCACGGTTGGTTTAACGGTTTCACGCGTCGTCCGCCGCCCCGGGCGCCGCCACACTGCCAGCGGCCCTACAGTGGCGTGGCGAGGCGGCGAGGCGCTGCCCTTGAACCTGCTGCTGCTGCTCGTTGGGGCCCCACAGTGCCGTGCCGTTATTGATGGCTCCCACGGCTTCCCATTGCCAGGCTCATCTCTTTCCCCTTCAAAAACATTTCTCTTCCTTTGGCGCCCCTCCCTCCGCGCCGCGCGACGACTGTCAGTCCGTGGGGCGTCGTCGGGGAACGGGCGCCGACGGGGACCCACGGCAACACCGCCAGGAAGGTCGCGGAGCGCTAATTGTCCCAACTTGTACCGCCCCGCCTCCACGCTCGCTGTGCGCAGCGCCAGTTTGTGACGGAGTGCAGCCAGCAGTGCATGCCGCTGCTTTCCATACGTCGCGCCGGGAGGGGCTGGGCGGGGCGCCAGCCCTTGTCTGGTCACCATGGCTACCGCCGCCTTATATGCGCATGGCGTCCCAGCCTAACGCACTGCGCAGTAAAATAAGTGCAAGGCGCCGGAACCGTAAAGCATCCCTGCGGCCGACGACCGACCGACCGACCGCAGCCCCGCCAGCCCCACCCACTTCCTATTTTGCCGCGCGGAATTTGAATTTATGGCGGATGAGCGCGGGAGACGGTCCGCGGGGCGCGGCGCGGTTTTCCATTCGCGTTGCGTCATTTGGAGGGGCTCGCCGCGTCCGGGACGACGACGATGACCACCACGACCACCACCACGACCACCACCACGGAAGCGGATTAGGAACACGCCCGTGGCGGCTCCGTTCGGCATACATATTGCGATCCACTTCCACCGAAACGGGATCCACCGTCCGCCCGGTTCGCCCAGTTGGCGCTGTAGCGCGGCGGGCACTGTAGTGTGGACCGAAAGGCAGCGAAAGGTGCGCCGGAGGGGCAGTGCCGTGGGCAGTGCCGTGGGCAGTGGGCAGCAGGTGCGCGCCTGATGGATGGCCGGAGCGCTTTTATACGGACCCTAATGAAATGGCGGCGCTGTACGAATGTGCGTGAGGGAGGCCGACGAGGCGCCCCACCAGGCCGCCAGCGACGCGTGGGGGGAGGGCACCCGCACCGCCAGCCGCTTTCCGTCACTCCGGGGGAACAATATTGGCCGGCGGCGGGGCTGCCTCAAGCTGCGCTCGACAAGGATAATAAATCCAAAGGGGCTTTTTGTTCGACACCTTCGCAACACTGCCGCCAGCCACTCGCTGCAACGCGAGGCGAACGCGCCAGTCTCACGGATTGGCGGGGGAAATTCGAGTCAACTTTCCGCCTTTGTGTTGGTGGCGTAGGCGGGGGTAATTATTTACTGTGTGTGTGTGTCTGTCTCTCTCACACACGCACGCGCTCACACACACACGCACACACAATCCCTGTCAATCGGGCTTCGGGGGGTCAGCGTCGGTCAGCGCCCGGCGCCCTTGAACGTCTCGACGAGGGAACCCAACTCACCCCGGGCCGAGTTGGCGGTCGGCACGAAATTCAATGAAACCGTTATTCGTCGGTACGAAAACTGGGCGAGGCCAGGCCGGGCCACCGATTCAGAAAACAAGGTTCCGTCGATCTGATTGGCGGAGAGCTGGCGGCCTCCTCCAGGGGGTATTGGATCCGAAAGTTCGGTCGGACCCAATCCAATCCACCCGCAAGCAACTCGCACGCCGCAATCTTAGTGACCACTATTCCTTGTACTGGACTAATCCCTCCCACGGGGCGGCCGGGGCGGTCGGGCCGGAGAAAGTCCCCCGGCCCGAAGGCAAACAGCGCAATATGATTAAACCGCTTCGGCGAGTGGGCCCGGCCAGGCCTGCCACCATTCTCGCAATGGCGGCTGCCAGGCAGGTAGTTTCCTCCGCAAAGTCGGTATCGTTGGCGCGGCACGGCGGCAGCTGGGACGCGGGCTGATCCGCGGCGAGATAGTGACCGCCGCGCCGCCCTGCCGCCGCGCCGCTCTGCCACCCGACACTGCTTGAGTGACAGGGTCGCCAACTTTGCGATGACGACATGGAAATTGTTGTTCGCACACAGAAGGACGAACTTGAGCAGATTTATTCATAGCCGGGGCTGCTGCCGCGTCCATGGCCGCGTCGCGTTTCATCTTCTGCCCCCCCCCCCCTTTCCCCGCCACTTGCCACCATTATTGGCACCAGAGGATGATTTGAACGTCACGTGGGTGGCAAAGCATACTTCCATTTGAAGAGGAGTTATTTGGAGAGGCAAGTTACGAGGGACAAGCCTGCCTAAAGCAGCGAGCCGGGTGCGACGGGGCGACCAGGCAAGCAATCAACGGGACACATGCTACCCCTGCGGTGCGCTCCACTGTGGCGCTGGCGTGCTCACACGCGCACACTCACAGGCACTGGCACGGACGCGTGCCTGGGTCGATGTTCCAGCTGGAGGTGCAGAATCGCGTTTCAAGCAGTTCGCATTCGATGAACCTTGCAGCACGTGCGTCTCCACGGTCTTGCCCTTGAAGGGGGCAGCGCCACGCCTCGCCAAATCGGGGGGCCGTTGGCCTCGGGGCGCTCCGGGCGGGCCGGCCAGCACTTACGCCCTCTGTGTTCTGCGACTTGTCTAGTCGGGGCAGGTTTCCTCTCTGGGGTGGTACAGTACGCGGCTCTTAGATCTCGCTCCGCTTCTCTGTTGCAGGCCCGTGGCGGTGCCATGGACAGGCCCCATGTCAACAACAACAACAACACCATGAGCACCACGGAGGACATGTCGTGGATCCTGAACGCGAGCCAGAACGTGGACCCCGACGTGCTGGCCAGCTTCGCGCGCAACCGCGACCTGGACGACCCGTTCTTCTTCACCTTCATCGTGCTGTACTCGGTCATCATCTGCTTCGGCGCGGCCGGCAACGGGCTGGTGGTGTGGGCCGTGGCCCGGAAGCGCTCCATGCGCACCGCGCGCAACATGTTCATCGTGAACCTGGCCGTGTCGGACCTGCTGCTGTGCGTCGTCACCATGCCGCTCACGCTCATGGAGATCCTCACCAAGTACTGGGCGCTGGGCCGCGAGGAGTTCATCTGTAAGATGCTGGGCACACTGCAGGCCACCAGCATCTTCGTCTCCACCATCTCCATCACGGCCATCGCCCTGGACCGCTACCAGGTAAGGATGAGGAGGCGGCCCAGGCTCCAGGGGAAGCCCCGCCGGCAGCCAGTGGGCCTGGGATGTCTGGCCGCCAAACGGCGGAACGAAAAATCGAACGTCGAGCCGCGCAGCACGGAAGCCGGTGCGGGAAATGTTCGATGAAATTGGTGGCAAACGCGCCGCAAAAGAGTCTAGCTTCCGATAAAAGAGGGAGTGTGGAGTGAGAAGCCCTCGAAGTGCCGGGCCGCCGCTGCGAAGGGCCAGGCTAGGGCCGCCGGGCCAGGCGCGCCGTACCGCGTAGGCAAACCTTCGGCCACGGCCGCCACCGCGCTGCGTTCTTGATCATTCCGGCCGAAGAGATCCGGGGGACCGGCCCGGTGGGGCCGGGCACACTGTCTCATTGTTTGCCTTGGCACATCGTTCCGTTCTGTTGCGTTCCGTTCGCGGCCACCGTGCGCTGAATTTGCCGAGAGGGTTCGAGGCCGCTCGAGGCGATGCATGGGTAAAGCCCCGGGACGGGCTGACGGGGGGGGGGGGGCGACTTCGCCTTGAGCCGCCCAGGGGCTCAACAAACTTGCCGGTTTTCGTCCGGAGGAGTTTTGTGATCCCCGCGGCGGCAGCGGCAGCATTGCCACGGCCGGTCCGGCCTAGAGCACACCCAGCACACTGGCACGGGGATGCACAGCACTGCGCCATGCCGCGTCTCTGTCGCACCGCCTCTCCGGCGTGGGGGCAAGCGAGAGACGGGATGCCCGTTGCCGATATCGACAAAGATGCAATCACAGCTCCCGTTCCGGTGCTGGCCGGGGCCGTCGCTCTGTCTCTCTCGCACCTATACGGCACACCCCACGAGTGCGAGAGAGAACGACTCTCGGAATCAGTGTGCAGGGTAGGGATGGGCAGAGTGTCGGGGGCGAAGCGCGAACCCTCGTCTCGTCCCACTGAGTGCAGGGCAGTACGAGTGGCGCTGAGGGTCGGGTGTTCCGGTTGAGCGCCTCGGCGGAAATCGTCTGACCAACCCCACAGACACACAGTGTGCAGATCACGTTTTACTTTCCATTTTTCGCTCGTCCTTGTCACGTAGTGCGTTTTTTTGGTTCGCGAGCAGTCTTGCTGCAAAGTCGGTCAAAACAAGTCAGTGACGAGCCGAGAGTGCGAATCTGGGATGGGTCCACAAAGAGTGCATCCTCGCACCGACATGCAGAATGCCACTAAACGATAACTTCGGTCTGCCCCCAGGTGATCGTGTACCCGACGGGCAACAACATCCAGAAGGTCGGCGCCATCGTCATCTCCGTCATGATCTGGGTGGTGTCCCTGCTGCTGGCGAGTCCCCTCTTCATCTTCCGCACCCTGGAGGTGCACCACGTGGTGGACATCGGCACGCTGGCGTACTGCATCGAGAACTGGCCCGTGGCGGACGGGCGCGCCTACTACTCCATCTTCTCCCTCATCTTCCAGTACATGTTCCCCATCGTGATCGTGACGCTGGCCTACTCGCGCATCTGCAAGAAGCTGCGCTACCGCTACGTCAACTCGTCGGCGTCCAAGCGCAACGCGGGCCTGCCCGTGCCCTCCAACACCACCTCCAGCGCGCCCCCCGCGCCGCGGTGCCCGTTCGCGGCGCCGGCCGTCAAGGACACCGTCAAGGACGCCGTCAAGGACACGCAGCCGGCCGCCGTGCCCGTGGTGGTGCGGCCGAAGGCCAAGGACGACCGGCGCATCAAGCGCACCAACGCCCTGTTCATCTCCATCGCCCTCATCTTCGGCATCAGCTGGCTGCCGCTCAACGTGTTCAACCTGGTCATGGACACGTACTCGGGCGACCTGTTCGGCCACAACCGCCAGGCCATGCTCATCACGTACGCGGCCTGCCACATGATGGGCATGTCGTCGGCCTGCACCAACCCCATGCTGTACGGCTGGCTCAACGAGAACTTCCGCAAGGAGTTCAAGGAGATCCTGGACGTGGCGTGCCGCGTGCTGTGCTTCTTCCGGTCGGTGGGCGCGGGCGGTGCGGGTGGCGCCGGGGCTGGCGGCGCGGGCGGCGGCGGCCTGGCGTTGACCGGGGCGTCGGGGCGGCTCCGCGGCGGCCACGGCCTGGGCGGCAAGCTGCTCAAAGACTCGAACCGCCTGCAGCCGTCCGCGTGCCGCGAGATGACCAACGGGCAGGACATGACCACCAGCCTGGTGCACGCCGACGAGACGACCAGCTTCACCAACGTCTTGTAGCGAATGCGTCGTCAGCGTCGCCGCCGCCAGGGCCCCGGCGGGCAGCAGCAGCTCGAGCTGCTGGTGCTGGAGCCGACGGCCGGTGTGCCGGACAGCCAGGTGTGACCCGCGGCACCCGCCATCTCCGCGCGACTCGAATCACTTCCTGGAGGCCCTGGAGCTGGTTAGGCCTCCGCCACGCGCACGGCCACGCACGGCCAGCGCGCTAATTCCGTCACGCGCTCCAACCGATGAGCCAGTCACGTGAGTGCCCGCCAGCAGAGGCGTCACTCTGTCTCCGTCCCACTGGCGGCCCGTACCGAAGGGACGCGAGAGAGGCAGAGCGACGCCTCGGAGCCACCCGGCTCCTTCGCGGGCGCCGCCGCCCGGGAGGCGCGCCGCCTCGGTTGCCGCCGTGCGCGTTGGGTTGCCTGCCGAGCACGGCGCACGCGTCGCGCCCCACGACCTGGAGCCCGGAGTCTGGAGGCCTGGAAGCCGCATTCCGGAACGCCGAATTTCAATCCCCAGACTCCAGCCTGCCCCCTCCCCTCCCAACCACTACAGTGGTGGTTTCCCCCGGGAAAGTTGGGCCGCCTGCTTGCTTGCGCCCCCAGCCAAGTAAAGAGACGAGGAGAGGGGGAGGGGACGGGGGGTATCATTTCCGGAATGCGGACCGTCTTCAAGGGCTGCTTTAAATTCCTCGGGACTTGCTAAGAATTTTGTTCCTGACGTAATGATCTGTGCGCTGGCCGCGCGGGAAGCCGTAAAGTGATTCGAGTCGCCGTGCCTCGGTACCTTGGTGACGCTGACCTTAGTGTAGGACCCTAGTGTACAGTGTGAGTACGGACAGTTTGGACGCTCGGCCCAATGGAGCTCGCCGAAAAGACTAGAGTATTCCGAATTTTCCTTGTCTGTTTGTTGCGGTTTTTTTTTCGATCAACTTTTTGTAATAGATGTTGATTTAGAAAGATTGGAATACTTTTCAAGTGAATCGTGTGGTCTGTATCTGCATTACAGCTGATTATTCATAACATGAATTCCTGAAATTATAAATGCGTGACATGGCAAATGGTGTCCCCAGTAGTGGACAATTTGCTGGAGACTTCATCGTCGGGACCAAAACTCTCGATTTCGGGTAGTTTGGAACTTGGAACTCTTCCAAAGTAGCAGCTGTGTTGTGGCAGCGTAATCGTGTCGTTCATAAGGTTTGGGTTCGAGAATTTGTGAATGAATTAAGTGTAAAGGTAAATAGTCCATAATTTTAACATACTTTAGGTTAAGGTTATGTATAATTCCTAGATGTGTACAATAACTGTCCCAGTGACTAACGGTACTGATTGTCTGTAATTCTTTCATAATTTTGTACATAGCGTGACGGTGGTTCCTAGACGGTAAGTCCAACAGTATTCTAGTCAAAGCGAGCCTTCCACCTCCGGTAGGTGAAAGCGACCCTTATATTTTACGAACTTTGAGGGCTTGCCAGACCCTTTACTGCACTGTGTATTTTTGTATGGAAAACCACTATTATTGTAAGAAATACCAGCTATTCCGGCGTTCGTTGTTGAAGCGTGCACCTCGACGGGATGGATCCACGCCGCCACACTGCCGTCTTGTCGAATCATCCGGCCGGGCCTGCCAGTGCCTCTGGCCGGTGCCAAGCACCTTGCCCTGCAACGAGCCAATAACGAGAATTGAAGTTTAAGACTCCCCAGGGCCGGGCGCCAGGGCCCAACAGGGCCTGCCGGGCCGCCCAAAGACGCGCCGCAGGGCCGCAGGGCGGGGACGCGGGGCGAGGGACGGGGCGGCCGGGCCGGGCCGGCCGAGCGGGCAGGGGGCGTGGTGGCTGCGCCCAGGCTGCGCCTTCGCCCTGCCATGCCGCCTTGCCACGCCCACCCACCGTGGACACCTATCAATCAAGCGGCTGCCGACAAGAATGATGGGCTTCGACGGGCGCGGGACATGTCCGCTGGCAGGCGTGCAGTGCCGGCAGGAGGTGGCCGCGCCGCCGCCGCGCCGCTCCGTGCTCGGCCGGGCCTAGCGCGGCCCGCGCGGCCCGCGCAGCGACGGGGGAGAGAGAGGGAGGGGGGCGCGCCGCCAGGCGAAGGGCAGCGCAGGGCAGCGCGCCGCAGGGCCTCGGCCACCTCCTCGCCGGCGCGTGGCGCTGGGTGGCGCTGGGTGGCGGTGGGTGGCGGTGGGTGGCGCGGGCGCCCGGGAGGGTGGCGCCGGCGGAGGCGGACGACGACGCCGTGCTCGTTCAATCCTCGCCGTCCTGGCCGCGGATGCTGTAACGACGATGGCCGGCCGCGCGGCGCGGCGTGGCGCACATCAGGGGATTGGTTTTAAGGAGCACTTTTTCGTTCCCCCGTGACGACGCCCTAAAAGCGATGGCCGGTGGGGCGCGGCTAGGCCTTCATTGCCTTAATGGAAGCACCGCGGCGACAAAGCGACGTCGCACCGCGACGCACGCCTTACCTGGTCCAGGAAGGCACGGATGATACGTTCAGACATTTCCACCACCGTAATCACATGACGCGGCGGTCTCGGCGAGGTCTCCGAGTCCCGGACCCGCGTCCCGGAGGAGGGCCCTTCGCGCGCGGCGAGACCCGAACCGTGAAATTTACGCGCGGGGCGCCTCTTCCAACGAGTGTGCGCCCCTCTTATCTCCATCCGTTATATTTTTTTTTCCGCGGGCCAAAACTTTCTGGCTCGCGTTTCGTTCTGTGCTTCGAGCCCCGCTCCCCACGTCGCGGCGTCGCGGCCGAGTCTCTCGGCGGAAGGCCGGAAAGTGGAAGGGCCCGGTGGTTCGTAAGCACCCTCGCTCTCTTACCGTGATTGTGTCGGGAGTAATACCTTATACGCCCCGCAGCTCGACTGTGATATGTCTGTGTGTGTGTGTCTGTGTGCGTGCCTTTGTGTGCGTGAGGAAAAAAGGAGAGGAACGGAAACGCCAAGGTAGACGCAGGGGCGGGGCTGAGGCGAAGGGAAGGAGGCAAATCATTGTAAGTCTGATCCCCGATCAAAGTTTGATTCAGCGAGGTGAACGCGGCTGGGCCCACGAGCTGTGATTTCGCCCGAAGCAGCTGGTGAGCGCGTTCCCAATAAGTAAACACATACGCAGGGGAAACTTGAACAACGGGAGCGAAAAAGGAAAACAAAAACACAAAGGCGTTTTCTTGCAAAATAAGGTTTCCTCCGACCTTGCATCATCACGCGTTGAGTAATAAATTTAATTGTGAATTTGATTTACGGCTGAGGCCCTCGGCTCCCGTTACTGCGTGGTACTCCACGGCCCTCTCCTGGCACCCTGACAACGTACGGTGCCCGCCAACAGCCTGCCTGCCTGCCCTGCCTGCCCCGCCACCCGCACTGGCCGTATAAAACGTCCTTTGGTCCTCTGCCGACGCGCCCTTGGCGGAAACAGTCATGAGTGACCCCGCGTCCATTAGACAGCAAGGCCGCAGAGGGAGGGACAGCGTGCGTGTGTGTGTGTGCTGTAGTTGTATGTGTGTGTGCGTGTGTGTGTGTGCTGTAGTTGTATGTGTGTGCGTGCGCCGCCCTCTGGGTTCCGCTGCCGGGGCATGGAGCTAATGGGAGCGGCAGGGCGGGAGGGCCGGGGCGGCCGGAGCGGCAGGGCCGGAGACTCCGGGTGCCCCCACGTCCGACTCGGTGCCCCGGGCCCGCGCGAGGGAAAGGATTGGTGCCTCGGCGCGGCCAGGGGCGCAGCGCTCCCAGGAGGTGTCCCGCCGCTCACTCGGCTTGCTTGGCCTGCTCGGCCCCTCTCCCGCGCGGCGCGGTGCGGCGCGGCGCGCTGCAGGTACCGCTCCGCCGCCACGGCCCGCCGGACCGCAGGCCGGACACGGCGAGGGCCTTTGCGACGCTCTCCAGCCCGACCGGTCCCGGCGGAACGAAAAAGGCCGGGAAAAAGGGGGCTTAGGACGGGAGGTTTGGGTGTGAATCGTGATCACGCGGACGGATGAAGAGGCAGTGTAGGGCCACGCGAGCTGCGGAAGGCATCCCCTCTCTCAGACAAGATAGCCGAGCCCCTCCGAGCTGCAAGACGGCGTAGTGCGTGCCGCCGGCGGGCATCTCCTTTGGGACAGACTTGCTTGCGTTGGGCCTCTGAGTGCTGCAGCACTCTGCATGCCCGCCCCGGCCGCCTTGCGAGTCGGTGCCGAGGGAACGACCTCCTTGTCGGGTGCATTAGCGTTCGAACGAAACAACAAAGTGGTTGACGTCGCCGAAGTTCAACGAGTAACTTCATTTACTCCTGAGCCCAGTAAGTCATAGTTACTCGTTGAAGAGGTGCGCTGGGTGTGCCGAATGGATGGACTATTAACGGAAAATTATTTTTGTGCTGCCGCTTCCTAGTAGTCAAAATTCTGAAGCTATCATTTTGTTTTCATCGATTCCCTTCTTTTCGTTTTGATCACCTTCGTTATTGTAAATACGTTATTTTGGCTTGGCTGTGACACGTGATCAGTTTCGGAGTTCCGCTGCAGCCGCCAAGTGGATTTCCCGTAGGCCTACATTGTGAGTACAAATTGGTACGAATTTGTGCAATTCCCCAGACTAGAACAACGTTTTGTACTTAGAAAATACACTTATTTTCTTCTTAAGAGCTTGGTACGGTGTATTCTGGTCATGTAAACATGTAAACGACGATGGGTTTGCAGGTTGTTTGCACTGGTTTTGAAATGTTAAATTTTTAATATACAACAATGTGTGCTACAATGTTAGCAGCTCTATTTTTCATAGAGCATTTAGTTTTATGTGAGAGCTGTCAAGATTTTGCATGCGAGCAGAGTTATTTTCATAACCAAAAATGTTGGACTGATAGACAGGGTAACACTCGTTTAGTGGAGTGTTTGAGCGTTTCCTCTTTACGGCATGCTTTTTTAAGTGTCTTCTGTTATCTTGTAAGCTGTAGTTGGGGTTGTGTCATTTTCCAATCAATTGTGCACAATAGAAAACTAGTCAGACTGCATGAAATCGGACACACTGTCGTGTCGTGGTTTTCGTTTATCTTTTTGACAATATGCTTTACTCTGTTGCCATATGCGGTTTTATAAAAAATACATTAATTAATTAATAATTGCCGTGATTTCATCTGTTCCTTCCCCGACTCTCTCCCCGCAGCCTACAACAATTTACTATCCCCTTGTCCGGGATCCACATTAGAGAGTAACCAGCAACAACAAGAAAATGTGATGAACACTTTCCACCTCTTCCGATCCTGATTTTCGTCATTCCACGCAGCTGTCTTGATTCCTGCTCGACCGGCTCACTCACACACACACACACACACACATACACACACATTCACACTCACACAATGTAGGTCAGCCCGCCTCGGCCGGCGCTCGAATACGACTGATATG